CACGACCGGTTTCGCCTTTCTTGGGGCTCATCAGGTAGGCGCAGTCCCCGGGTTTCCGTCAACCTTATGTTCTACTTGAAACCAAATTGCACGAAATTAGCGAATATACACTCATTTGCGAACTAATTTGGTTTTTCGAGAGACCCACCTGGAACCCAGCTGAGTCTCTCGTTTGTGATGTTCTCAGGCACCTGAATGTGTTGCACCAGGCCGCCTCATGTTTCAGTCGCTACGAAACCGGTCGTGGGCTGTCGACGGATTTTCAGCAACCTTATGAGTAGTACATCACAAAGATAAACAAACGAAATTGTTTAGTACTGTCGAAAACTGATGTGATCCACAGTATTTTCCGCCTGTTATTTCCGACGTGCTTACCGTTAGTTAATGTCCGCTTTGCTCAAGAATCACCGTTGCAGAGCGCCCGTGAACTCGTGGTCCTCAACTACTATAAGGTGCATTTGACTGCGGTTTCTGGAAGGGGCATCAGTTCTACTAGAGTCCATCACGCTACTAAAGTAGACATTAAACTTGCATAAGAGTCTTCATTTTTCAAATGTCTGGAAGATAGTCGGTGAATTTTTCGCTGGACAACTGTTCAATTTTGGCAGACTAATTGTTTCGGTTACCTGGCTAATCAAGTTTCAGAGCAGATGGAGAACAAATCAACGAGATCTCTTTCTGGTGGGATAAATCAGTGTTAGGCGTCGGCTTGATTTTTGTCAGTTAGTGTGGATGAGTATTTTTTCGACCGATGGGCTAAGGGGACAGCGCACGTAGATTTTGACCGGGTTTCGCTTCTGGTTCTCCTGCTTGAAAACACTTCAGTCGATCATTCCACTTGAGCGTCATCTCTAAACTTTTATCGGTCCGTGTGTGGGCGTTAGTGATACACCAGTTGTCTTCGGGGGGGGGGGGGAAAAAAGCTAATTTTGTTCGNGAGCGTCATCTCTAAACTTTTATCGGTCCGTGTGGGGGCGTTAGTGATACACCAGTTGTCTTCGGGGTGGGGGGGGAACTACGTGAATTTTGTTCGCATTAAACTTTCCACTTCAAATCCGAACCACTTTTAACAGACTGTTTGACTGACCGCTGCACACGTACAAACTGGACTACTCAAAAACGTTTTTCACACACTCACCGGCTGTACAACTTCTGTTCTATTCACACGGGAGTACTTGTCTACCATGAGTCTTGGTGATATCAGTGTCGACCGTCACTTCAAAGCCCCCACGTTCTCCCCAACATTACTACTTATGAAGTCTATGAAAACCCTTTTACATTTTTATCCTTTGTCCTGTATCCAGTGCATGTTCAATCATCACCGAGGCCTTGATATTCGTTTGGCTTCATTGGTCTTTGATTAATTCCTATCTTGTGCAAGCCGTTTTGGGTGCGTTTTATCTACCCTAATGTATGCAATCTGTGGTCCTTTCAAATAGGCGACA